CGGCCGATTTAGTGATTTATCGAGATAAATATGCCCGACCGAATTGTCGTGGCGCTCATGGGTGAATTGAATTAATTGAATGTGCCGACATGAATGTCGGGTCGGTGGACCGATGTGGGGAGCATGAATTGAGTTGACTGATGTGGCGTGCTAGATTGACATTGGCGAAAGGGTGGTGATTGAAAATTGATTTATATGACTAAGAGCATGGTGAATTTTGTATTGTGGTGCATGTGCATGAGAAAAGCCCGGCTTGATCTGAGGGCTGACCTGAGGCGCAGTAGCGCGGGTCGTGGGAAAGTGTGAAATGTCCAGTGAGGGACGGAGCCCGGCTTGATCTGAGGGCTGACCTGAGGCGCAGTAGCGCGGGTCGTGGGAAAGTGTGAAATGTCCAGTGAGGGACGGAGCCCGGCTTGATCTGAGGGCTGACCTGAGGCGCAGTAGCGCGGGTCGTGGGAAAGTGTGAAATGTCCAGTGAGGGACGGAGCCCGGCTTGATCTCGAGGGGTGACCCGAGGCGCATAGCGGGGTCGTGAGAATGGGCTGAGGCGCAGTGGCGCGGCAAGTGAAAGGACCCGGGAGGTCGTGAGAAAGTTGGCTGGACCACGCATGTTGCATAGTGTTTGATTATGAGGTGAATCTTGCTAGGCATGGTATGGGACGTGCCCAAGTGGTTTTACCTTATAATCGAGACACGCGCGAGTGTTATTGTATGATGCATGGAAAATTTCCTTGTGTGATCTGAATATGAGCTCTGCTGGATACACTAATGTGATTTGACTAATGTACAGTGTGGGCATGTGATTGGATGGCGAGGTAAGTCCATTGATGTGAATTTTATATGTTATGGGGTAGATTGCATGTCTGACTTGTCTGGGTACGCATTGGCCTATGTGGGGTATAGGGGGTTGCTTATTGAGACTCGTTCTCACGGTTATTATATAACCATTTTCAGATCTGCGACCGTGATTGATTGGAGACGCCACCAGGGTATCTCGGGGATGGAGGACGGGTCAAGTTACTCCATATTTTGTGTGCCCCTCTTTTGTATAGCGAAGTAGGATACCCCACCACTATTCCCTTTTGATGTTGTGTATTTGGAATTATTATTTTGTGCTATCCCTTTGTCATATTTTATTGTCTGGGTTGTTTTAAATTCGCTTCCGCTTGCCTTTATCTATGATGTTTGAGTTGGGTCGGCGACGTGTCTGGGACGTCGCATTCAATGATCGACCATCGCGGGATGATCGCGCGCTCGTAGGGTGCGGGGCGTGACAACCACCGCGCCTCAGCTTCAGCCATCCATCCCCGCCGCCGAGCCGACGGCGGCAACACAGAGAGCCAGAGAGCCTAGGTCGGTCGTTTTGAACAAAAACAAGGAAAGAGAGAAAAACCGAGAGAAGGAGAGATTGGGTGTGCTTTTTCCCGTTCTTTTGGCTCACGGGTAGGAGAGTATAGTCGCAGGAGTCCCCCCGGCGAGCTAGAGCCGCCGGTGATCCGCCGAACCGACGTCACCGACCGGATCGGATTCCCAGCCATTTGAGAGACAAAAACAGAGTAGAGAGAGACAGAGAGAGAAAAGAGAGAGAAAGAATGAGTTTAGAGCGTACCGAGATCACGCCGGAGTACGAGCAAGAACCAGCAGCGTCGCCGTCGCCCCCCCGACCAGTCGGAAGCCTCCCAGACGCGCCGTCGACCGGTGAGTCGTCCCCCGGCCCGAACTGCTCTGTTCTCCCCTGTTTTTGCTCCCAATTTGGCCGGGACCTGCACCGGCCGTTTCGCGCGAGTCCCGGCCCATACCACCGTCCCCTGCCGTCCGTGCGTCGTCGCCAAAGGTAAGAACAGGTTCCCGAGGACGGCGGGGCCTCGAAACAGGTCAGAACCTCCTATTTTTGGTCGCGCACGCCCGGTGTTCGACAAAATGCCTCAAAGAGGCCGGTTTTTAATTCGGTCGCCGGCTGGCGAGCGGCGGTCGAACAGCGACCCAGGTGGACGGCGAGGCTTGGTGGTGTTCCCAGAAGCCGATTTGGGGGCGGTGCCGGTCTGGGTCGGCCGGCGAAAGGCCAATTTTGGCTCCGCCGGTGTCCCCGCGTGTTTGTACACGCGGGGTGACCCGACCCGGATCAACCGACCCGACCCAGGTCAACGCCCTAGGTCGGGTCTGTTGACCCGGGTCGGCTCTGACCCGGGTCAACGCCCTGGGTCGGGTCCGTTGACCAGGGTCGGTTCCGACCCGGCCCGGATCCGCGACCCGACCCGGTTTAATATTATATTAATATTTTTATTTTATTTTATTTTATTTAAAAAAATTTAATTTTTTTCTTTTTTTCTTCTGTACTATTATTATATATTTTTTATTTCGAAAAAGATCTTTTTTTTTAAATTATGTTATATCTAAGTGTTTTAATTATTATGGTATTATTATGCAAGTTTTTGTCTTGTTTAAATTAGACAAGCCTATCAGGTTGCGCAGTAGTATCTTGCATGTTATTACCGTTGTATTATTATGCATGTTTTTAATATAATTGCATGAGCTGTTGTGTTTTTGAATGTCATCTGACTTAGTTAAGGTTAGAACCTTAGGCTTAGGCTGCATGAATTGTTATGTTCCTGACTGCTGATCGTTTCTGATTATGCACTCACTTGATCACCTCACATGTTAGGAGAAAGGTCCTAAAATCAATCCAAATTGCCTGACAAATATTTTCAAAAAATGAACAGGGTAAAAAGGTACCGAAAGGGCATTAGTTATCCAACTAGTGTAACTAAGACCCCGAATTCAATTAATCTCTGGTTCGTAGGAATAGGGTGATTCTCCCATCACCCTATTTGGGTTTCTAATCGACCCACCCCAAATCGATTAGTGGCGACTCCTTGATACAAACCACTTGCATGTTAAATACTTAAACCCTAAGTCGCGATGTGGTATGGGCTTGGGAGAGCCCGAGTTAAGTCCCGAACCTAGACTTAGCGCGTACCAGGCGAAACCCCCTTTTTGCATATTCGATAAAAAAAAAAAAAAAGCAGGAGTTCGGTCGCGACAATGAGGTACCTTCAAGGTACAAAAGATTACATGTTATGTATAGACGAACTAACAACCTGGAGGTAGTTGGTTATTCAAATTCGGATTTTGCTGGTTGCATTGATTCTCGAAAATCAACATCTAAATACATTTTTATGTTAGCTGGCGAAGCCGTATCCTGGAGGAGTGCGAAGCAGACTTTAGTTGCTACTTCCACTATGGAGGCTGAGTTCGTTACTTGCTTTGAGGCTACCTCACATAGTGTGTGGTTGAAGAGTTTCATATCAGGGCTTAGAATTGTGGATTCCATTGCTAAGCCATTAAGGATATTTTGTGACAATTCAGTTGCTGTTTTCATAGTTAAAAACCACAAAAGTGGTAGTCGAAGCAAGCACATCGACATTAAGTATTTAGCCATAAGGGAACCTGTTAAAGAGAACAAAGTAGTCATTGAACACGTTAACACTGAATTGATGTTAGCTGATCATTTAACTAAAGGCATGCAACCAATAAGTTATAAGGATCGTGTGTTTAGGATGGGAATTGGTCCTATCATGTAAAATTTTTTCGTATGGACGAATCTGTAAAACTCTTATTCATTGTGATGTTATTCTAAATTATGGTATACACATTCGGTTATTTTGACAATAACAATCGTTTTTTGACCTAGAATAAACATAAGGTTAATTTATTAAGTTATGTTATCACATATAGGCTAATAAGACACATTGTGATACATGGAAGATTTTACTCATTCTAAGAGGACTTATCGCCATGATTCATGTGTTTTATTTTCAGCATGAGGTTTTTGTGTTTGGTTCAATATTTCGTTTGATGAAATGTTAGGATCAAGTGGGAGAATGTTATAATTATATTATTTACAATGTAATCCCACATTTAATTTATTATTGCCCCACATTAATTAATTTCGTCAACGTTTATTGAGCGCATTTAAATATGTGATAACTATGATCGCCCAATATTAAAATAATTATCTTGATAGGAGAAGTTATCTATAAGGGTATGAATTGAGATATAAATAGGTCATCTAAGCCAAACTCTCTCATAATTTTAAGATTGATCTCTTATTCATTGATCTGAGATATCGGAAAACACACCATTGACATTGAGTGGGCAATTGGCTAGAAGCACCTATCGACGATCGTCAAAGCTTCGCGTATCAGGTTCTCGATTTCATCAATGGCTGGAGATTAGTACAGATTTTTTCACGTTTCCGCACTCGATTTTGATTATGCATGTTTATAGTTTATACATGAATAATCGCAATCTTCAGTCTTCCGCTATAGTTAAATTTCTAACAAATATATGTTGTTTTTTTCTTTCCAAAAACACTTAAAATGCCATTGCATGTATAAAAGGATAGTGTTTTTAAAACCGTTCCCTAGAACGTGCACAAGTCTTTTTATAATGAATGCCACTTACTTTTGAATTCCAATAGCATTTGGTGTTATTAATAGTTAATGTCTCTCAATATAATCATTCAGCATCAATTTATCTTTTTCTAGAAAACCACTTGTTTAAAGGCTTAATAGGAAAAAGGGATGAGTAATTAAGTAAACATCGTTAATGCACAAAAGCCCTCTTCTATATAGCTAAGATAAGATATATGATATGGTTGAAGCCATTTTAGTTTTTCTCAAGAACAGTAATGTTAGAAAAGTGGAAAATCAAAATTGTGTCAAAACTTATTTAAAATTTAATATGATATATTAGTTATAGATAGATACTTTAATATTATTTATCTTTTTACGATCAATTAGTATTTTTTTAGCATTCAACATATATGACAAGTTACTACACATTTGTCAACATACATAATTAATTACAAATTACCTCTTTATATATTGCATGCATCCATTTAAATTTTTTTTAGTAACATCATCGATGTGGAATAATTAAGCTTTTTTTATCAAGTTAATGTAAAACATAATAATTTCTAAGTAATCTGGAGAGAGGCGGAAGAAAATGGAATTTTTAAGTAAACATAGAAAGAGCTGTGAGATACAACCAGCGTTACAAATTCACTACGCTAAATTCGCATGTATGAAGGCACTAATTGCTATGCAACAGATCGTAAGCGATCGATGAACGCGAGCAGATTTTACATAACTTACTAAGCCTTCTCTTCGTTTATGCGCCCGCTCTCTTCTACTTGTATGATATTGGACCGGACCGAGATACTGCAAATCTAGGCAGTGGACTCGGACCTCTTCTCTCCGAACTCGAACCCTCTGGAACTTTTACTTTTCTGCTCGAGCTATAACCCAAAGGACCAGAGCGCCGCACGTTCCTTTGCATGCTTTCAGTACCATGGAGGCTCCCGCCATCGGCATCGAAATGGTGGTCCTGGCTGTGAGATGAGGACCCTTTGAAATAACCCGAGTCGTTAGCACCGTACTGAGGAGTCGAGTCACCACGCAGCGGCCTTGATGCCGGAGAAGAGTGTGCCAATGATACAGCAGGTGAATGGCGAGGTGACGAGCTTAGCAATGCCAGTGGTGTTGATGGTGTATTTCCATAGTATTGGCCGTATATAGAGTGGAGAATGGTGTAAGGAACATGGGCTTCCAGAGAACTCCTTGGAAGGAATGGCGAGATCTCGCAAAGTTGATCCAAGAATATGAGTTTAGCCACCAGATGAGATCTGCATAGATTTCAAAATACCATAAGATGCCTGCAAACGCCATCCAGATAGAATCTTAAGCATATCTTCCGGAGGAGTCTACGGTTGAAACTTTTTTAGGATCTCTATCCTTAGCTTCTCAATATAGAATTACCCATCTGATCGTCATGTGAAAGGATTATCTCATCCACTCCTCCGCCGGTGCAACCAAGAGTTGCATGCAAAGGCCTTTATAGAGATCGGAAAGTACAAAGTAGACAGGTTTATAGAAACCAGACATGCAGACCAATGACTGCATTAACACTGTTTATTCATCTCATGAAAACACAGATTATGTAGAAAAACCTACGTCCACCTACATAAATAATGACAGTATTGCTGTGATGTGCACGTGTGACCTTGCATGCTTGTCCCTACAATGAGTTACTGTAAACATTTTAGCGCTGAGGCGAACTCAGTATCACTTTAATTATGAAGAACATACGGTATAGATGGAAAAGATGTCACATACCGGTTCATCTCATTCCAGGACTCTAATACAATCCCTGAAGAGAATTTTACAAAAAGTTGCATTGAAGACCTTATGCTTGCTTCAGCAGAAAAGCGACTATGTATGTCAGCATCTAATGCCTCGCCAACATGGCCATTCAAGTAAGACTGTCTTTGCCGGTGTTCGCGCTCCATCCTAACATACTCACTTCCTGTAATTACTGCATTAATGCACCTGCCAATGGGACGCCAGATCAACATTTTCATTGACTAAGCTGCCTAGCCTTCGCTAGGCAATGTGTTTACCACAAATTACACATTCAAAATTTATAAGTTCACGGTAACTGCAGAAAAATCACTCATGCCAAGATAAAATATAATAACAGTGGAAAGCACAGAACAAGAGTCAGTAGAAATAGGATCTTCCCTGGCACCACACAGTCCACGCATTCACCAGCAACAAGAATTAATGTCATGAGACACCTCAAAAGACTAATATAATGCTTGATTCGTATACAGTCTGGCCAAAGTATCAAATAAACAATTTATTATTCTCTCAACTCCACTATAAGACTGGTTTACTTTTCTCTTTCAGGAGAAACTTTCAAACCAAATGTATCACAGTTCAGTATTGTCAGTTTAATTTAAAGATAACAATCCAGATGCAGCAATGAAGAGATTTTGGCTGAAAAAACTATCATATAGGTAACCGCAAGGGCCAAGTGCTCCTACACTGAGACAATGCAAAAACAAGTCCGGTGTTTCTTAAGTATAACACTGGCCCAATGAATTAACAGTAGACTAGATTTGCAGATGTAAAAGACAGTATACAGGGCACAGAAAGCAACCTTGCCAAGCAATGAATGTTGTTGTTGAAGCCACCTGTCTCGATATTGAAGGCAGTCATACTCCAGACACTGGATGTCATGAAGCTGGCGAACAAGTATGGCAACAAGCTCCATGAACCATCATTTGCACCACCGACTTCTTCCATAATGGACCTTACCCACTCAGAATCATGATCAGCACCAACGCCCATACTGTTTGCCAACCCTCTTACCCTTCTAATTTCTTTCTTTTCTGGTATTTCATCAGGTATATGTTTAACTATCCCACCAAGTAATGAGTAGATAAGTGGTGCACCTCCTTCAAGCACAGTTCCAGCTGCTTCAGCAAGTAGCCGATCAAAAGCTAGGGCTTGACCCGCCTGAACACAGAATCCAATCAAAGTGTCCATATCCACAATCTGTTTTAAACAGGCATCTCTTTCTATTCGATCACCTGAGTGCATGCTACCAGCAACAGCCTCCAGGATCTCACGGTTTGACCTCAGTGACGTGTCAATGCAATTTAACAGCGCTGCAGTATGTTCCTTCATCATCCTGTCTAGGCGGTCAACACCATAGACACCAAATATGCGAACAAATGCTCGTAATTCTCTTGGATCAGTTACTGACTCGGCAAAATATCCTCCAACAGGTCTAGTGCTCTTGAAGCAATTATGAATTGGAGCAAACAGGATTCCAGCACCAGATATATCCTTAACTATATTCTCGATATACCAGTTGCATACGGCCTCAGTTGCAGATCCTGTATGTTGCTCTGCGGGTCTCTCAAACAAGTGCAGAGAAGAAACAGGTCCAGCAAAGACTTCTGTGAGTAGAACTTCTCGAATACCCTGAGTGAGGTCCATGCTGATGTGCTGCTCTGCTAGGTGGACTATGCTGACATGTCTTCGAAGCAGGGATTCCATGATGCTGGGACGATTCAGATCATTATCAGTTTTCAGTAGAGAAAGCAGTCGCCTCCTGAAGTTTCCGAGGATGCATTCTCTCATGTACTGCACATGTAAGTAAATTTAGGGTAATAAAATCAAATTCCTACATGTCTGTGATTTATAATTAAGAGTGAGCTATTGCCACTTAGCTCATGAAAACTATATAACTATACATTTTCTAAAATTTGACAAACTACAACAAATTTGGAGTAGTAACATATCAGGAGCACTCAGAAAACTTATCCAACTATACACAAGGACCAGTATTTAAGGGTTGAATTAACTTGCAAAGGGTTTTACTGAGCATGTTCCCCATGATATAATAAGCCTGATGTGCACAGCGAGATACAGTCAAAGCACACGAAAAACTTACCACGAGGCAGCACCATAGCTTATCATACAGTACTGTGAATTTTGTGGTTGCAAACTACTACTGACAAGTCAACCATTGCATTTTACAGATTTTGTTGGAGTAAAAAGAGAAAGAAAAGGAGTGTCATGGGGGAGTATAAGTGATTAAGATTAATTGCTCCTACAGGAGGAAGTTGGTATGCCTCACCTCTCTTAGAACAAATACATGGTTTAGAACACAAATTGGTTCCATATCATTTAAGACTGAGCATAAATTGGTCAGCCTCTGCATTGCAGCTTCTAACCTGTAGATGAGACATCAGAAATTACAATATTATACGATCGAAACACTGTTTTGAATGAATAAAGAAATGTGAACAAAATAGAAGGAAAGGAAAAGGCCAGTCTTACAGAAATTCCTTACATTTTAATTGAATTAGTGTTCTCAGGATAGCTTTCATGCCCTGGCAAAAGAAAACCTAGAGGTCCTTTTGGAGATTTTGCTGAAGGGACTGCAACTCTTGTTGCATAGTTCATATAAAAAGCAGCCTGCTCCGGAAGAAGCTGAGAATATTCGCAAGTTCAGTTATGTTATAATGAAATGTAGGAATGTTTCTACATGTACAGCATATGGTACCTGAGTCTCTAGAGCACCAAAGCCCCCTTCTGAATCAAGAATATTAATTAATCCCTCTAATCCTCCCATAATTGATTCTATGAGGGATTCAACATAAAGAACTGCATCTCGACCAATTTTAGTTACCTGCAGAGAAGAGAGTAATGTTGCAATTAACCTTTTTCTTCATTTTTTGCAAATTTTTCTCCAACAACTTTAAATCATGAGATACCAAATGAAAGTCATATTTGAAGGGCAATAAAAACTAATCTTTTACTCGTCATCTAAGATTAAATAGTCAGATGACAAAACATACTAAAAACAGAGCAAACATACTAAAAACAGGGTAGATTCTTCCGTACATAGTTTCTCTAAAATAAACATTCACTAATGATTCTATATCGCAATGTCATGCCTCTTTTATTCGAACTTGCCGGCTAATAAGAAAGAGATAAAACACTAAATTCGATTAAAATCTTTATGGTTAGATTATGTCTAGGGTTACCTCTTCTGCGACAATTGGAGAAGCACATTCTGGGAAGCTGCTAGCAACTCCCAGCCATGCACAACAATGCTGAGGACGTCCTTCTGGTCCAAACATAGTGTTTCTAAATACCTTTTCCAATAATAACACGAGTTTAAATCACAATTGCATAAAAGTTATGTTAATAAGGAGTCAAATGTCAGAGAAAGCTGAACTCACTGCGGTAAGGTGCTGATGGTAGAAATAGAGCTTTTTAAGACTTCCATGCTTTGATAATTGAAGCTCCAGCTCATCAACACACCTAAATTATCAAATTTGTTTATGCCATTTGTCTCCAATTTAAGCATCAATATAGGACTTCCACTTTTTTGCCTACGGAAACCTTGGAGTGATGAGATTAAGGTAAACTTATGCTGAAGAAACTTAATAATTGAGCCAGCGGATTCGAATTTTCGTTAAGATGAAACTGCAACAGTTTTTTCATATTTTATTATATTTTGGATGGAAGAAACTGCTACAGGTTGATTACTTTGATCTGCAAACCGTAGGAAGACGGACAGATCCTTCACCAGTGTGCACATGCAAATTCAAAAAATGGAAATGCAAGTATAAAGTCTTTTTTTTTTTTTTGATCGAAGCAAGTATAAAGTCCAGATGTACTATGAACTACAGAAGTTACATTGTCAGTAAGTAAAAGAGGAACTGAAAATTGATATTTCAGGTTGCAGTTTATGTCAAGTTCCATCCCAACCAAATTACTCTTCAGAAATTGTCTTTTAAACTCAGTTCTGTATATAATTAATGCTTCAATGATATTCTTATTGTACCATGCAATTTTGAAATATAGTTTGATGTGGATCTCCAATTTATGTTGAAAATCATGCACCACATTACCTTGATTAAATGCTTTTATCTTCCCACAAAATGAACTTCAATTAGAGTTGCAATCGTAAGCAAGTACCTCGACCAATTGTATGCTGCATTCCCTTCAGACAGTAAACCTTCCTTCCCTGTAGAAACAGTAGCTTTCTCCAAATGTCTTATGTTTATTGATGACCGTGAAGACGTGACAATCATCAATATCGACAACCAATCCTTTCGGAATTCCTGATCAGTAATGATAGATCATTATTTCGTAAACAAGCTATGCATAAAGTTGATGCAGTTAGTCAGAAGAGGATCTGAAAGACTAAGAGACAATAAAACTCAAAATTGGATGGCAGTGTTGACGTAAGTTGGCAACACACTGCAAAAACTATCAATGTGATGCTTATGACTTTCAGAAAGATCTTAAATCTTATATGTGACTATTGACAGTTGAAATAAAATGAGTTCTTACAGATAGGTCACACGTTATGGCAGAAATATTTTCACCCTGAGGTTTTGGTATATTTTCAAGGTGCTGAACAATCTGCTGAAAGAGTCCTTTCAAGTTTGGACCCAGATCAAGAGCCACCATTCCTGGAGTACCTAGTAGGAACCGAATTCTACTGGCACATGAAGATAGATATGATAACGCATACCCTCGTATTGCTGCACAAACATTGTAAATTGATTTACACAGTGCTCATGTGACCAATAAAACAGAAAGTTGGAGCACTGAGAAAGCCAAAAAAGTGAGATTTCTGTCACAAGACATCATTAAAAGCCAGAAGTATGGACCATGTATCTAGAAACCATAATGTACAAGGTGCATAAAAAGGTTTGTTTTCCACGAGAAAAATTTTGGAACTTAGTCAATATGGCATATTACACAGAGATATCCTTTATACAAAAGATTCAAACAGAGAATCCAACCTGCAATATACTTGCGCACTAAGCAGCACAAGCGGTCCATTCCATCTAATAAAAACCCAATAGTTGGATCACTTGGATCCTGCATCAACATTAATGTCACTTAAAATTAAGCCAGCCTGGTAAAGCCTGGGAAAGAAAGCTACTCTTGACTGATGCAACAAAGCATAGGTTAATATAAGAGTAATGACAACTTACTATTTCTACTGGCACCACACGAGTGCTTTTCGATTTTGAGGATACAATCCCTACATGCTGGAAGTACCAAAGAACCTCAGATTGAGCTAAAGCCAAGGCAGAGAACACCATCTGCGGGAAAGAACCAACCGACCAAGAAGGTTAAGGTGAGCGCATCAATATTGCCTATATGATGAGAATCGGAGCTAACCTCATTCATTCCAGTTAGCACTACAAAAAATGGTAACAGAAACAAACAAACAGAGAGCAAAGCATGGCTAATCATAAGCCATATGATGTTCTTACAAAAAGTAGACAACCCATATATCACATTGAATATTACGATAAACCTCAGTTTTGTTTGCTTGCAGGGACACTCTTGTTTTTCCGAAAATTACCCAACACTTCTTTCAAACATTGTCCCATTGAAAAAATAACAATCCTAATGTTATCTTACATCATCCTCTTCTTGGTCCTAGTGGGCTGAGATTGATGATGTAAAATCCACGTTGAACAATTATTCAACAATGAAAAGTCTAGACTAAAGGAATGATTTTAATATCACTCAGGCCACTAGAACTAAAATCACTGATTTAGGCCATCCCAAATTTAGTTGTCCAGCAGTGACTGACAAATTAAGGGATGTCAGAGTCATTTTTATCATGATAAGAGGCCCAAAGCCATGATGTATCAAAAGGAACCCAAAATTTCTACCTGTATGTTTGGCGCCAATAAACTAGGCTGATCAGTGAAAAACAGCACCATTCTTCCAATCTCTTGTTTTAACAGTATTCTTCTTTCCTGGTGAATAGCATCACAAGAGTATAGTGCTTGCTCATGCACTTCACTGCGGCAGTCAAAAATGTAGAACCATCAGTTCAAATATCAGTGATGCACCAAAAATGACGTGGTTGCACTAAGAAGATTAAAAACAGACAGTCCTTAACGATCCTGGCCCTCTGAATGTTTCAGAAAGTGATCCGATTAACCTGTATGAAAGAGGAACATCTGCCTACTTAACGCACATCGTCCCACAGTCTTACCCCACAATATCCATACCAAACAGGAGTGTCCAAAGGTATGGTTGTCAGACACAAGCACAACAATCAGCAGCAAGCTGCTGATGATTGTGCATAGTAAGCTAAGACATAGATGCCCACCTGCCCTTGCAAGGGTACTCAAAGTCTGTACATTAGTAAGCTATAAGATGAACCTTTGAAATATGGTATAAACATATCACTTAGTGATAAACACGGCTATTGCATCCGGCTCTGGTGGATCAACGATATTGATCGCTCCTCAGCAATCCGAAATGAGTAAGAGCAGCTCGTTATTTTTTGAATTTCGCGTTTCAAGACATTGAGAATTAACAAAGTACAATAAATTCGCACAAAAGAAGAAAATTAGACATGCAAAATATATCTTTTCACGTTCCAAAAGCACAAGTTATGACCTGATAAGTCCCTCAAGCATGCGCGTTTAATAAAATATTTTTATGAATAAAGTGAAGTAAATGATAAGTATTACACTCAATCTAGGAAAATGTCCAGCAAAACAGGCAAGGACCCAGCAGTAGCATGTTGACAGTGAACTTCTTGTGCGCTTTTTAAATCAGAATTGAGAAAATCATTCATATGTTTATATGGCTTTCCTCCTTCAACGTGTCATATTACAGCTAATTAGAGTAGGAGTTTAACCGTACCTGATCATTTTCTCAACCTGCTTTGCAACGCTATACTCCAGATCTGCTTCTTTTTGCTTTGTACGACCAGATTTTGCCAACTTCTTTGATTCTAGTATCCTTGGTAAGACGTACAATTGGTAATCCTCATGCAATAGCACGAACTGCAGTTTTTAAGAGTAAGTTCAAAATCAAAAGAGATAAAAGAAGAATCCATCTCCATAACGGCCAATCAGACTCACCTCATCCCTGAATAGTGTGAGGATCAAATTTTCCTTCAGTACTACCTAAATATCAAGTGTCAACACAAGTAAGACACCAAGTAAGATGATATTTTAGTAACATGAATCCACCAGAAAATCAGCCACCCAAAAGTGTCAGTCAACCAGAAACTTCGCCATTAGTAATCTGGTTTTCTACCCATTCATGTAAGGCCCCCAAACAAATAGAAATTGGCAGTTGACAAAGTCAATGCTACGATTGCAACTCTCAGCAAAAGTACTAAAATCTTGAGAGTGCGGCTATGATATTATTCAAGGTTTGAAACATTAAAAGGATTCAATTTTACAACAAGTACTTTACGAATAGCTTGAATCATTCGAAACTCTACGTCAGAACATTATAAAAGAACTTGTCTTCGCATGTACAAAGCTGCAGGTTGAAGCATTACACTTTAGGTGGTGTATTCTAACAATGTTTATACATTCGCATATTTAAGAAACATATCAATGTCATTATTGTTATCGTCCTCAAAAAGTCGAATTTGCATTAAAACTAAACTTAATGTTAGATTGAAACTATCTTTTGACAATCATGTAGCCAATGTGGTTTTCTGAGCAATATGCATTACGCAAAACAAAAATTCAGCACCACAAACTTCACACAATTGTTTATATTAGACTAGGCATGCAGAAACTTCAAGTCTGTTGTAATAGAGATGCAGCACTTGCTTAAATCATTATTTCAGGGGTCAAATGAAACCGTGAAATTTTCAGATTACCAGAGCAATATCAATGCTTGTAACACGAAGCAGCTCATCAGGGCAAACAAGATAACCCAGCAAAACCCACTCCCTATAGGAAGTAACATTTGCAAGATCTTGTGCTCTCTGCACGTAGAATTTGCATCAAGAGAGAAAAAATCAGGTCAACCGAAATTACAATTTACATTAAAAAGCTTCATTCTAATTCAAAGTGAGACGTACCATTGGGTGAGCAGAATTGGTTAGTATATCTGGGTATCTCGGATGATATGGACTTAAGAATCCCTCATTCCTTAGTTTCCTTGTATCTGTAGAGAGAAAAATTATAGGACCTACAGCCTCTAAGACCTGGAAAAGGAAAATAAAGGTATAAATTGCACAATATATGTAAGAAACCTTAGGAACTAATAACAGGAGACAAGCCCACAAGATAACCACTAGCGACTTCGGGGTCATCTGAGATTCCAGTCTCAAGTTGCATGTTGCAACCATAAGTAACACATATTCTTGCGAATTCAATGCTGGGGAACTTTTCATATTATCCATACTAAGAACTAACAACAAACATTTTTCTGATGATTTGATAGGTAAAGAACTACTATGAAAGGATGCAATTGAGATGTTATGTTAAATATTATTATTCTGCATGGCATATCGGCAAGAGATACTAGTGCTATTATATACGATTCTATTTGACAGGTTGCATCCATCAAGAGGGGGGAAAACCTGAAGAAAAGAGCTTTATCATGAGATCTCTATGGTGAGATAACAGGGGATAGATCTATGGTTTAAAACTCATCCACAACTAGAAGGCCAATTAAGATGTGGCTAATAATACTAGGACAAAAAATTCTATGAGATTTTAAAAGCCCAATTATGTAACTGACCTCCCCAATGCGTGGGCTGACAAAATTTAGGTCCTCTTGCAGTCCTCTCAATGGTGGATCATAAGAGTCTATGAACTGCACTAACCTGGAGTTCAGATAGAGAGTACAAAGTATGAAGAATATGTACAATCGGGATACTGGTGCTAGTAGTGCTAAAACTAAAGCCGAAAAAATTTGGATCCAACTTCTAAACAAATATAACAATCATGAAACTTTCACAATAAACACTCATTTGTACGGAAAAAGCTAAGGTCCTAATTTGTAGCCTGGGTCTTATGGGAAGACATTCTGGTTATTCTGCTTCTGCTTCAATCATGGTTTTAACCCTGTTTTGTTATGTGCGCAATGCACATGTTGAGTCTCAAATGAGAGAATAATCTTGATGCAAATGGGAGTGTCAAGATAGCCTCAGTGTCCTGCCTATTCAGAGCTTCTTCTTTCAGATCAACTTGTCTGAATCATGTGTACACATGATCATCATGTATGATGAATTCTGGCTTAATATGGTAATTAAAAAGAGATGGAGAAAGCAAATTATACGTATTTAAGTTCCCCGTATTTTAACAATAACATTGACTTACATATTGCATTAAAATCGAATCAACATCAAATTAAAGAGTAGTTGACAATAGTCTTAATATAGCTCCAGAAGAAGTAAGCATAAATAGAGCCACAAAAGTAAGCTAATCACTCATTAACTACACTCAAAGATGAACGTTGCCTCTGCTTCATTAAATTTTTCTGATGTATGTGTATCTTTCCTAGATATACTGCAGGTACAACGTATAAATCCAGCAAAGGCAGACTTGAGGAAAATGTTTCTCTCTGTTTTGGTTCTATCAGATACTGATGTCTTTCACCAAATCATCCTAAAGTCACATTGACAAAGCAAAGACAAAATACATGCTGGAGAATTGTGGACTTCAAAGATTAGAGTAAAGAAAATCTTTCAGTATTAACCCAAAAGTAGTGCACCCAAGTGCCTTATGCCAGCCCTCAGGACTCTACAAAAGAAATAATAATATAGCATTTACCAAGTCCTGTACTAGTTACTACTTCCCTTCACACAATTATGATTACCTTCAGCCCTTTGTAAGAGTCAAGGCAACAAATTAGCTTTTGCAAAGTGAGGAATCCGGCAGGTATAAGAATCAAACCAATCATGAATCCATGGCAACTTTGGTTAAATTACATTCTATAGGAGTGAAAAAAAAATGCAGGAGAATTAACAAATAGTGAAGGTTCCAACCTATAGTAAAAGTCACAGTCTCGCTCATTTCTTGCCATTGAGTGTACAAGGTTGTAAGTTTGCAGCATCATTTTTCTGGGTAGCTGTAATAAGATAAAAACAAGACTCATGTGAGAGAGGACATTTCCAGGAAGAAATAAATATAAATTTGCAATACATAGTCAAGTAAGTAAATCGAGCAGGGAATACTAATAGTTAACCCAAAGAAAACTTGCCTTCTCAGAGAAGAGATTGACACGGACAAACGAACAAAAGAGATCCATAAAAGCATGCAGAATAAGTGAATTCTGATGTGGCTGCAAAAGACTGTCTCAAGTTATCAGAGATTCAGAGAAAAACAAAGAAACCAGACTGGGCTGCCCATCAGCCGTCATTCTATTTTATAGAAATTGCCATATCTGAGAAATCAAAAGGCAACAAGACTCTGGATGAGCCTGCAAAGGCCACAATCGAACCAAACCCAACAATAGATTTGTGAAACATAGAAGAAAAAACCGACTCAGCACCATACCAGCAGGGTAATCACTGTACTGCTGAGATCCAGAATAAGTCGCAGAGCTTGTTCTCGATATGCCATCAAGTCCAGAAGGAGCTGACCCACAAAAATTGCCACGTAAGCTATCTATACGTCATAGTCTATCAACAAACTAACAGATCTTGCAAGAGTGTTTTAGTAGCAATTCCACAGCTATCAATAATAGAGCTCGAGCTCTTCATAGAACAATGCACAGTAGCAAGACCTTGCGTCATGGTTCAGTGGAGAGATTAGGTAAACAAGCTTAACAAACTCAGCGCAGAGAGGTACTGATTCTTAGAAGTAACAGACAATATATGGATAGAGCATAAGGCCTAGTGGTTACAAAAGCTATCTTATTTACAATAAGAAAAACATCTTTATCTTCCCAATATCAGTTGTTGAACCCAAACATGAGATAAAGTATAAAGATGTCCGACCTGAATCCATGGTTCCAAATTTTGCAGATGAACTTCGGCATCATCATGCAAGGCATCCAAGGCAACTTTGTCAACCTGCATTCATGTTCTCCAATCATTCGCTAAACTTTACAGTTTGAGTTGACCGACCTTCAGCATTTAGGGAAAGTTAAACAGAAAAGAATACCAGGTCTTACACGCTCAAGCTGTAGTTTGCTGAAATGTTCTGGAAACTTCTTCGAGAGCAACAAACATATTCTCGGATGATTGGGCAACAAGCCTGCTTTCCAGAATGATTCTGTGTACAGATGATTAACAGGATCCGGGTAGTCAAGGATCTGGTTTAGTCTATACATTTTGGCCATCAGGCCGTCCGCAACTTCGTTAAGTTGAACTACCCACTGCATATTTAGACCCTTCTGGGATCCACTTGTGCTCTGGACCTGTTCATCATGACCCACATTCCTAGAGGCCCGGGTTGTGGCAGGAGAATTCGTATCAGAGCAGAGGTACTCAGTCCATCTCGAGGGGCCGTCCCAGTCTCTTGACCTAGAGGAAGTCGATGACATTGATATATCTTGGCTGGGAAGATGTTGACGCGATTTCGCCATCAATAACTACACTAAACGACAGCAATCAAGCATTTAAATTCGTGGCAACTTGTGGGAAATTCAATCATTTTGCAAAAGAAAGGTAGCCAAAAATTTTATAGGTAACAATTGCACCAAATGCAAACTAGAAGGAGGAGGAACTGCATTAGCAAGTAAAAGAGTAAAAGTTTCCCGGGACTGATGGTCAAGAAGCTGTTGATTAGAAACTAAGCATACTAGGTACCGAAGCATGCAAGACGCAGAACCACTATTCTTCCAGCACAAAGTCAGCATAACTGGAAATATGCGCCCAAGGAGAATGCTCAAAACACATGCCCGTGCACGCATAGAGAGAGAGAGAGAGAGAGAGAGAGAGAGAGCAGAGAAATGGACTCTAGTCCCCTCAAATTTTTGGAAAACTTACTTTTAAGATTGCATTGTGGGAACAATAAAGCACAAATACTTGAAGTGAAAGAAAAAACAAAGGCTAAATATTTCAGCCGTCTGTTTGTGCATAATCCACAAAAGGCATGAAAAGACAACAAATCCCAAAAGCGACATTCCTATAGTCTTAGTTAAATTTGGTATCCCTGCTCCTCAATTAACCACAAGTACCGGAGCAGAGCCAGCATTGACAGGGCAGACTTCCTCAAAATTCCGAGAATTCAACCATCGAAAGATAGTGAGCATCAACACCCGAGCGCAGCAACATAACGAGACACATGAGCAAGCGAACGATCGCAAGACGCGGCATTTCCTTCTAAATTAGCAAATTCCTATAGTTTTAGCTAAATTCAGTAATCCCTGCTCCTGAATTAACCACAAGTACCGGAGCAGAGCCAGCATTGACAGGGCAGACTTCCTCAAAATTCCGAGAATTCAACCATCGAAAGATAGTGAGCATCAACACCCGAGCGCAGCAACATAACGAGACACATGAGCAAGCGAACGATCGCAAGACGCGGCATTCCCCCTTCTAAAATTAGCAAGTAAGTTCCTATCGTTCCAGCTAAATTCAGTAACCTCTGCTCCTTCATTAACCATAAGCGCCGGAGCAGAGCCGGCACAGACAGGGCAGACGTACTCAAAATTCCGAGAATCCAACCATCGAAAGATAGTGAGCATCAACACCCGAGCGCAGTTAACAAAACGAGACACATGAGCAAAACGAACGATCGCCGCCTTCCGAAATCAGCAACTCCGCTTCCCAATCGATCAAAAACCCGCTACACAAAACCATTCCCAAGAGAGCACAGCTTCTCTTTTACCAGGAGTTAAGAAGGAGGAGGCCCACCTCTCTCGGTTCAGAGATCCGCGGGGGGAGAAGAAGAGCTCGGGAACCGGCGGGGAACCGGCATTCGTCAACGCGCTCTCATTCCGCCGCGGGCGGAGGAGGGAGGGAGGAGGAGCTGCTCGGAGTAGAAGAGGAGCGGCGGAGACGGAGAGAATGAATGCGCGAGCCTTTGTGCTTCAGATCTGAGAGAGAGAGAGAGAGAGGGAGAGAGTGTGCGTGTGCGCGCGCGCGTTTCTAGAGAGAGAAAGAGGAGAGGTGGTTTACTGAAATAGTTGAGAGCAGCAGAGCAGGTACAGAGAAGATGAAGAAGAAGAAAGAAGATTGGAAGAGGACAGTGGCGAGCGCGTTGAAGTTTAGGAGACGCGAGTGAACGGGACGCGCCCGGAGCAAGTACGTACGCGTCTTCGTAATCGTATTTGTAAATTCGTATTTGATTTATTAACATTTTGATTTTGATTTTACACGCCGGATAATCGAATTACGATAAAATAAAATAAAAAGTACTAATTCGTGCCAATTCGCATTAACGTAGAAATTAAAGATGTCGTGCCTTATTCGAATTCTTCCTATGTGACTCGTGTTTTATCCCATACAACGAACAAATCGTATCCGGTACTGTCGGCAGTAAGATGGGGCCGTATTTGCGTATTATAGTATGTATCTTTTTTTTAAAATAAGTTAAGATGACTTATTAGTGTTCCTGAATATACAGCAAATCAACATATTTCGACCAAAGTCTAATCAATTTTTTGGCCCTAATCGTCGCTTTACATCTCATAACAGCATTAGTATATTATGCTTCTATACATATGATCACTCTCTCCGTACACATTTATAATCATGAAAATTGGTCATGGTTTTAGCTCATCTATGTTTTTTTTAAAATAAGCTATGTGGCCGGTGGCCCTACATAGAAAGATAGATAGGGATACATCCTAGACTTCAAAAGCACCTTAACACTTCCCCAAGGTATAATTTATGTTTGTGAAACAAGTCATGGATCAAATAACTACACTAGCCCCTACAAAACACATTTAAACATCAAAGACCCTACTTTCTAGGCGTGTTCGATTTTCTCAGCTTCTCATCATTTTCGCGTGTAGAATATATAAAGTTTAACCTTAAAACACGACAGATTTCCTATTCGAATTTACAGCACCTCTCACCCCAAATAACCTTTGAGATTGTCCATTTATGCTCACGAACTTGTCGATGTAGCCGCCTTCAATGAAGAAGAACCGAACGACTTACGCACATTTGTCGGGATTAGTCGGAAGTAATATTCATACGAGTCAAATCCAATTTTCGTCTTCTTTTATTGCTTTTTTGTTTCTATTTGCACCCTCAGACCATCCTTTAGTAAACAAACTGAAATGAATCTACCATACCAAGAAAAACAAAAATAAAGCTAAGATGAACCACAAGTGAAGTTAGTGGGATGCACGATCATGAACATATGAAATATTTATGATTTCTCACAAGTCCTTGACTACTTCTTTATGTAAGTGGAGTTTGATGGGATCAGTTCATTAGGACATGAATGAGAAGAGAAAAAAACAAAACATACTTGGCTTAGACATCAAGCCAGCATGATTGCCTCCTCACTGCACAAAAATGTGGCTGTATTCACCTATAGAACATAGACATGTTGGTCCACTGTAGCCATCCATTCCCCTCCTCAAGGTGAGCTTCAAAGTGAAGTCATTTCCCTGGAGCACACGGCAATCCCGGAGAAGACCTGTTTCGTTTTTTGTCTTTTACCCCTTTGGATCATCCATATGATGCAACTGATGACATGCCTCTTGCATCAGTTGCAGCAAGTTTGGCAATGACGACAACGTGGGTGGTGAAAACAAATATGCGCGCGCCCAATGACACCAACTTGCTAAAGCTTTTCACCTTCTTGAGATGGAAGTGAATGGGTAAACCCTTAAAACAGAAAACTTTTTTCTTTCTGTAGGTCAACCTTTGATGCTCTTACTTGAGAAAAAGGAAAGTACCATCTCAAAATAGACTTTTTAACTTCGATGACAGTGACCCAACCTTGTTTGGCGCAAAAGACAAAAGGTGAGACCCCCCCAAACCATGATGCTTGCTGATTTCACTAGCCACACCAAAGTGCCCTTCCTCAATGCGTGTGAATCTGTGATGCTGCCACAACTTCTTCTTATTAGGGCATGGGGACTCATGGGGATTATCTCTTCTGAATGAAAATAGCACAACAACTATCTTCGGAGTACGAGGCATTACATTGTTCAGTCTTAAAAGAAAGTACAAGGTATTGGACACTGGAGAACATCGGTTGAGCAATGCTTTTTCGAACAATGTGCGAGAGATTTTCACATGCTGCACAGATTGCGGAATGTGGCTGCCATTAAGCAATTTAGAGAAACTATCCGGCTTTCGATATCCAACCTCGGTTTCTTCAATTATCCCAGCACCGGATCTTGAAGACCCGCCAGATAAGGGAGATAAACATGTCATGCCCATCTTCATTTGGAAAAGTAAGCAGCCATGAAACACGGATGTTTTTTTAAATCAAGGAGAGCAATGAAGCATCCTCTCATTCGTTTTACTTTAAGGTTTTATCCCGGGCACAAGTGGAATGGGTGGCTTGGGCTTTCTTCGTTTTCTCTACCAATATCGCTTGTGTAGTCAAAACTGTCCCTGCAATGGAGACTGCACTTTGTGGCGCGCACCTTGAAACCTTGCATGGGTCTATGACCCCAGCAAATATCTTCATATTTTCCCGTCATTGCATTGTAACCGATTTTCCGACCGCATGTTTGGGTTTTCTGCACTACCGTATCGCCATCTGCTCCGGCATTAGTTGCAATGGCTTTCGCTGGAGCAAGGAGCGCCTGCAATCGCCATCCGTAATTGACCACCTAAAAGAACAGAGAGACCTCCAGAACAACAAAATGCTAGAAATGATCCTCCACTCGATGCATTCCCACTTAGAATGCCCAAGCAATTATTGAAGACGTGAGGCAGGTTATCATTCAAAGGAAAAAAGTAGAACTTGGTTTCCTCAAGCCCGCACGAGAGTTTGTTAAAATATAGTTTTCCTCAAGCCTAAAACGCCCGAGCCTAGGCCCATAAAAACATAAAAAGCTGAGGTCGAGCTCAGGATCCTCGTGCCCGCCCAGACATGGTAGCCAAGGACCCAAGCCCGGCCTCGATGGATACGGACTGAGGCGCCGGGACCCTAGCTCGAGTGCTGCGGATCTAGTTTAGGGCCCAACCTTGATCGACCTAGGCACAAGCATCAAGGACCAAGGCAACGATAACAAAATCACCAGCCTAGCCTCGATAGACCCAAGCTTGAGAATTGGGAACCCAAGCCCGAGCACTGGGGTCCTGAGCTTGGCCTCCATAAATCAGGGCGAGGACGCTAGGGCCTGAGCCTCGATGGACCCAGGCTAGGGCGCACAGGTACCGGGCAAGCGTCGATGGACTCAAGCCCAAGAATTGAGGTTCGTTGCCCAAGTCCCAGGCACATGCATGGGGGTCTTGAGCCGAGGTGCCATGGAACCGGGCATGGATACCAAGTTCTTGGGTTCTGATTTTCTGGACTCAGGACTGGTGCCGGTGGTCATGCCCCAAGGCCAAGGATTTGGGCCCGAGACCCTGAAGCCTATGCCCAATTACCTAGCCACTCATGCACAAGCCATTAGTGCTCAAATAATGAAGGTCTCCTTAAAAAAATCAAATCATATTTTTTTGAGGAAATAACATAAAATGACTTTTTTCCAGACATTTTCCAGCCA